ATTTCTGGTTTCTCTCATCTCTGCACTTGGCTTGCGCCATGACCACAAGAGAAGCAGAGGGTTATTCTTTGCAGCTTTGGCTACAGCTTGCTACTTTGGGGACATCATCTCAGAATTTGAATGTGCTCATGTAAAGAAGAAAATTCATCAGCCCTTTTTTCCAAATTCATGGGCAAGTACCTAGTAGTTACTAGAGCAGCAATATGGAAAGTAACTTGTCCTAACCTAGTTTTTGAATGAAGGTAGCTATGATGTTCTGAATTCAAAATGTATGGGACGACTTTCAAAGGTCTAAGTATTTGGGATTCACAGCTGCTTTTGCTTTTTCCCCCTTTATCAGAGAGGTCTCACCAGTTGTATCTTTCCATAGCAGGCAAGAAAAGACAAGCAAGAAAAGAGGTATTGAAATCTCTCTTTTACCTCACCAGAATTCCCTAGAGGAAAGAATTACCTATGCACACGTGTGCACGCACACACACATATATATAATGGTTTGAATTCTTAATACACTTTACAGTAGGCAGCTTGCCATTTAGTATGGAGTTCCTAGTCAGCTACAATAGATGTTTCATCTAACAGACATGGCTATTACAAAAGTAATAAGCGCTATACTGATATTGATAAGGCTAAAGTATATAGAGGTCATAGGAGACCAACCATCTTTAAGGTTTGCCACCAGGAAGACAATTTGCACAACAAGATCCATTGCATACCAGAAAATTGATTCTTTAATATGTGCCTTTTTAAGATTGTATGCCAAGAAAAAGTTTCATGAACTGTCTAATAGGTTGTGTAGTTGAATAAATATAAGTAGATCTTGTTTCCTGCACCATTGATGGTGTTACTAAACAACATCCTATACCACTCCTATTTCCTATCAAGACTTGTACACTAGTTTAAATCTTTCATGGTTGTTGCTTAATACTATCCTTCCCTTGTGCTATGAAAAGGTTTCATTTGAAATACTGCAGATTCCTCTTAAATCAAGTTCATAGCAGTTCAGCTTTATTTGAAGAACTGAGTGATAAATATAAGCAGGGCAGCACAGTGTATTTCTGAAGGTTTCTTCAGTCTGCAGGGAATCTTCCCTAAACTCACCAGTTTTATTGGTTCAAAGTCTTTTAAGCCACTCAAATAAGATCAATGAACAAACAAATTTATTATTATTTAACCTGCAAATATTAAAGTCCAAGACTGCTTTTATATACATGAAAAATATCTTTAATAGTTAAAAAAGTTTAAGAAATCAAGATAAAGGTAGCAAGGTTATAGCAGCAGCTATTTCTATATGGGCCATAAGGTACAACAAGAATTCAGATCTGCTAAAATGGAAGTATTAAACCAGCATCTACTCTTGATGTCTCAAAACTAGAACTTTTAAATAACTTAAGAGTTTAAGCTAGTATAAGGAAAGCCTCACCTTAACAACTGCATCCTAACATAGAACAGGTCTTTAATTCAGAACTGAGTATTTTGGCAAGGTAAGAGGCAGTCAAAAAACTATTCCAGCAATCTCAGCAGCTCCTCTCCCTTCAGCTACTTCCCTCCCCTCATGCTCTTAAAGAGAAGTGTACTTTACGTGGCTCATCAAGGCCCTTTCTTTACCATAGAGCCAGCAGCTAAGCGTTTTAGTAAAAAGAGGCTAAGAATAATTAAATGCAGTGGCCCCAGAGGGTGACTGCCTGGTTTGAGGGTTATAGGTCAGGCTTTACATGGACTACAGAGCTATTAAAGTTACAGTAAATTACATACTGGCCAATAGACAGTATTCCCCCAACTGCCCCATTAGACATACACAAAGCAGTACTGCAGACTGCACAGAGAGTTGGTATGTAAGGACTCTAAGAGCACACATTTTTGATGTGCCTTTTTCCTACAGTTGGTGCTTTCTAGTTTTGATTTTTGTTTCAGCATATTTTTTTTCTAGCCCCTTAGAAAGCTGGCTTGTTGGACCATTCAAACAGAGTGCTAATATTGCTAGTTACAGTACCTTCTCTGTTGGAATGAGATGCTTTTTCACATTTACAGGATACATTTGTCCAAGTTAAGGTTGACACAGCTATGCTGTGATATACTGTATCAGGGAACACCCAATACTGAAGCTGGTTGGTGGATTTCCAGGTACTAGAATACAGAAACAGTGTATCTAATAACAGACAAGAATATTTTTTACAACTTGCTTTTAATTTTAAAATGTTTCACTCTAGGAAGTTCTCTGGCAAGTGATCTAGACTAGTTTCATATATTTCAGCATCAGGATCTGAGCAGGAAGCATTTCAGACACTCAGCACTCTTCAGGATAAGGTTTTACTTCAGCCAAGTTCAGACTTGCTCAAGGTGCAAGCTTGAGGGTGTGATCTGGCCCATGTAGTTTCCTCACTCAGGCTTGAAACAGCAGTTACCTTTGGAGAAACACTGTATCAGAGTATTGAGAAAGCTGAGGCAGCCTCATGCTCATTGCCAAGTATTTAGCATCCTTCTAGGGCATATGTTCAGAAGTTTTGTAAACTGTGTACCCTCCTCTGTTTCAGCAGGTCATGGAAAACAGATCCTTATGTTAAAGTAAAAATAACTTCACATGGAGCTTGTATTCTGCTGCTCTTTATATCAGTGAATCCAAGGACAGGGTCCAGTATCAGAAGGTAGGAAATTTCATCATGTTATGGACAATGTTTCTTACAAAGAGGTCAGATGGGAGATGTGAATTCCAAGTTTCATATATTGCAGAAGATACCAACACACATGTAGTCAATGTCACCTGGGATTAATAAGTGTTTTCAGATGATCATCTCTTTGTCCACATTACATGACAGAACAGCTAGGATCCTCATTTTGCTGCAGAAATAAAACATCAAGATATTAGGCTAATTAGCATGTGTACAAACTTAGTATTTGTTGCTGGTTACCTACTTGATCCTCATATAGGTATGTGGGGGTTTTTTTTTGTTAGTGTTTTATAGATTTAGTTACTTATTAATAAAGCAAAGCAGATTTTCAAGAGAGGCAGTACCTTAACTATACTAGATGGTTTGGGGGAAGAAGAAAACAAGCTTTTAAGAATTTGAGTCCATGCAATACATGAGCCTATGCCTTTCTTAATGAAAGGGTATCAAGCTAGCTATCAGTACCTCAGTTCTGAAGCATCAAAACTTAACTGGCATGCAGATTCATGCTACCCTAGTTAGGATGGTAAAAGCAGAAGCAAACCCCATGGAAACCCCGCCTTTATTTAAAGCACAGCATTCTTTCTTTGCATAATTTTACTGCATGCAAGTAGTTAACTGGTTTTTACTAAGCTGCCTTTATTTCAGTACTACCAATGCAGCAGAACCATATAGGTACTAATGACAAAAGTTTGACAAGAATTCAGCAGACAGGAATGACATTAACATTTGAGTGGGAGTATTAGAATTGATTCTTACCATAAATGGCACACAACTGTATTGTAAAGTTGCTGATAAAACAGATTAGAGATGTAAGGAAAAGTTACTTTTGCTTTCCATCACTGATTGCCGAACAAGCCATACTATTAGTCAATTCAAATAAAGAGCCTTTAAAAAAAAAAGAAAACCCTTGAGGAGAGGCCCTACTCCAAACATGAAAAGAAGCTTGTATGAGTAAGTATCTTTATAAGCCTAAAGTTTCCACTGGTGTTACTTGAACCATTTTGGTGTATGCTGTGCATTCGGAGCCCAGAGGCCAGAATAGCATTATAGAACCTTTCTCAATAGCCTATTTAACAGGGTCTCGCCCTCCTTCAGTGAGAGACTGAAAATATTACAGGAATGTGCATATAAGTCAGGAGACCTTGATAAACATCCTTTAAGCCAGATGGTATTATAATAATAGATATTTACCCAGATTTTCTGTTTGAAAGAAGGACAAGGAAAGAACCAAGCAGCAGGTAGTAACTGCCTGTTCTTAGGTACATTTTCTTCAGAAAGACAGTACTAAGGTACTTTTAAGTTAAGTTTTCAGACAGGTATATTATGAAAATATCTAGGAAATGCTGGCTTTAAGACCTGGTGCAGTATGATGCAAGTCCTAGTAACTGTAGGATCAGTTTTAGCAAGAGCTGTGGTAGCTCAACATGCTGTGTCAGCAGGAGGGAGAAAATGAATTTTTAGCTAGGCATCCCCTTGTGCTTAGGCCTTGGCATTTGTACTAGCAAAGGGAACTTGGTGCTTTTTCAAGTCAAGAAACAAACTCGAGTCAAGTACAGTCCATAATTCTTCAGTTATGACCAATTTTAAGCCCTTGTATTAGTTCTGTTTTAGACTACTTCAGCAATTAAAGATACCTGACTACTAGTATATCAAAGTACACTAGGCACATCCAACATGCAGAAGTTCAGACTTGTAATATGGTCAGTCAAAAGCCATTTGGAGGGGTTAGAGAGTCTTTCACAGGGCATTACCACATGCAAGTTGTAGCCAAAGGGTTACAAGTATATCAAAGGCAAAACATGCTTATTCTATTTGACTGTGTTAATTCCATTAGCATGACCTGCATCTGTGCTGAAGTTCCACCTGGAAACTATTGAGGGGAGTATTTATGACTGAAGCAAGGCTGAGATTCTTATTTTGCACAGCAAGATAAGAAAAAGTAGTTCCTGGAAATGAGCTGGAACAGAAGTGCATCAAACTTATGCTTGAATTTAAGAGGGACTTAGGCAATCGATACACTAAGAACTTTGATTTCAGCCTTTTAATACTTTTCAATGGAAATAGTAGGTTTCTTCAGTGTGAATTTAAGTTATCTTAAAAGCAAGTGAGGGACACTGTTGGAATGTCAGATAAGTCACTTCATCCCACAGAAATAAGATATTTCTGGTTAGTATTTGCATTCTGTTCTTGGGGTAACAGCTTTCAAGTTTCTTCATAGCCAGATGCTTAGATAGAACAGACATTAAAGCTAATGTTTTTCAGTGTGTCAGCAAGAACAGACCAAACAGTTAGTGCTACTACTTGATCACATTCAACCAGAGAATAAGCAAAACATCAATTCCACTTCTGATGCAAAGCCATGCAAGCTACACCCTACGTGGGACAAGAGACTGCAGCACTATTAATGAAGCAAGTTTTCTATGAGATGACAAAAGCATGATTCTCACTATCTCACCTGCTTAAGGTCGTTCACAGGAACCACTATCATGAAACCAAACAACATTTCTTTTTTCTTCTTCTTTTGGTCTGACATCAAGAAAAATGTTAAGAGTTGTAGGATATGGATAGTAGTTGGGGAAGTATTTTGAATGCAGTAATGAAAAGAAATAGCCATTGAATGATTCTGTCGATAGCATGTATTTAAACTTCAGGCACCTTACCTGAGATGGAAACTCCATTTCACTTCCAGTTATTTCTTCATAGTCATCATCATCTTGGTCACCACTTTCTTCTCCTCTAGGTACATGCATTATCTTCCTCTCTGCAAGTTCCTAGAATACAGTTGAATTGCCACCAAGAACCCTCAAGAATTAATCACATCAAACAAGTTTAGTATTAGGACAGTAGAAGCTATTTACTATCTCACTTACCTCACCATCATCTGTGATGAGTGTAACACCAATATTATCCCCAGTTCCCCAAGACTTCTGAGACTTCCAGACCAGATCACTAGGACCTGGGCTTACACCAGCAGCTGCACCCCAGATCTGCAAGAGATTCAGAGTGAGCTTCTGAAGAATCTTATTTGTAGTTAGATTAGGATTCAGTTCTAACATATACAACTCTTAAGCACTTCAATACCAAAGATGTTCAGTAACAGAAACTGAACTACTGTGACCCCTGGCAGGTTAGTTCTTTTCAGGACTACCAAAAATGGTGGTAATGGTTTTTTTAACTGAAGACTGTAAAACAGTTAGTGCAGAAGAGGCTGTTTACAGGTTCTACCTGGTATAGAGGTAGCCTTGCTTGGACATGCATACTATTTGAGTCACAGAGCCAAGCCATAGTTACAGACATACTCATGGCAGCAATTTGTGTATACAAGATAGCCTCTAGCCTGGGGTCACTCACAGATCTCTTGAGCAAGCTTGTACAGAGTTTGGAGTTGTAGAATTAGCCTCTTTGATCACTATCTAAATGTACTTAGAGTATGATTTTAGAGCTAATATTTAGCTTAGTACCATAAACCATGAGCTCAGCATTGCTGAACTGTAGTGAACCAAAGCTTTTAGCAACAGTGAAAGTCTTTGCACAACTTGTATCAAATCACAGGAGTATGGGGAACCCTAAGAATAAACTAGAATATATTGATTCTGGGATCCCAATCTGGGATGATCCAGGTTCAATCCAAGATCTATCTTTAAAGAAAATTTAATTGTCATTTCAGATCAAATTGTTGCAAGGATTTTTCCCATCTCCCTCTCCACATAAAAAAAGGATTTTAGTTCTTTAGGCACTTGCAGTATCAGTTTAATTTTCCTTATTACGTGAATCTCTATTGCCATCTAACATTACAAGAACAGAGCTCTGAGTAAGTTTTACAAAACCTCTACCTACTGTAACTACTTGGCCCGCCTGAAGAGTGAACCGTGAAGGAAATTTGTATGTTACATCTGACACACTTCCAAGATGTCTTCTTAACACCCACCCATGTAGCGGTTGATCCTGTGGGACAAAAAATTTTTCTCAGCATTACAGACCAATACCATATCATACAAGTGCAAGGTTCTTTCCAGACTCAAGAGTCAGTTTTAGTCCCACTCCTGTAGCGTACAAGAATCTGATCAATTTTGAGGAAGCCTTCAAGTTCCCATTAAAGCCTCCCTATGATTTCTCCCAGTACTTCCTTAGGCTTAATCTTAGTCCCACAAGTTTAAGCACATCTATTCTTGCCTTCTGTTGAAGGGGGATCATGATGCTCTTTACCAGGGAGATTCTGCTAAATTAAGTTGGTCATGCCTATCTACAAACTTGGGCCATATATATAGCACATACATAGTGGCCTGTGAATGTTTAAGACATCTCAGGCTGAAGTGGCTAAGCTACCAGCCACAAGTTTTGGAGCTGCGAGGATTAATTCTAATAATTCTGGATTTGCAGACTAAACTAGTCAAAGAATTATCTAATTGGTCAGATAAACCTTCTACATGGGTTAGATACTGTCAGCTCTATTCAGCCTTTTAGCTGTTTTAAGCATTTCTAAGTAATAAGAAGCTGTCATTATCCAATTTACTAAGCACCTTATTTAGTTCAAGCGTAAGTAGTACTTCTGATAGTGCTAGTCTGAATCTGATGAGAAACAACTGAAGGTATTAGATTTCTGCATCACAGAACCCAGCGCCCGGTGCACCTCCCCCCAAAAGCACCTCCCAGACATGCCTGTGAACAAAAAACCTGCAGTACAAAAAAAAAAAAAAAAAAAATCAGTCTCTAGGCTTCTCTTGACAGCAGCCAGGATAGCTGAGAAGTCCCCAGTTTGAATTTAGTTTGGCAGTACTCTTCCCTCATCTCTTCATCCCTCCCTAAGCTACAAGTCTGTCCACAAGCAGTCATACTTTGTAATGAAGGCCATGCACACTTGAATGAATAGAAGTACCTCATCAGAATTGTTTTTAAGCCTGACAAATTTCCCATCTGCATCGATTTCTTCAATAGATACATTTCCAGAAGATGAAGCATGCTGAACAGTTTTAAATCCAGCACTATGCCTTCTTTTTTTGGCTTCTTTCATTTTCCTTTTCTTCCCATGCAGGAACCGTCGCCCTTGACTTGTTGCTTGAGTTGCAGTGCTGTGTGAAGATGGGCTGGGTGACAGCTTTAGCCTAGAAGGGAGTCAGATAACATTCACTTGAATATCTGATGTGCTTATTTCTTCACACTCCTATCCTCCCACTGTAGCCAAGCCTAACAGCTTCTTATATCCAAGCTTTCCATGAAGTCTTGAATGTAAGATTTTATTTTTACTGGCAAGAGTAGCTAAGTAGCTCATTAAGTTTGGAAGACAGCCCCAGCCCTAGAGTTCAGAGCAAGCTTACGTCGATAAGAAGAAATTCCCAACTGCAATAAGTATTCCTTTAAAGTCTCCACAGACAATCTTTAGTGGAAGTAGTTTGAGGTTTTGACCTTTCTTAGCATGTATTGAGTTCATGTTGTTCTCACCAGGCAGTGTCTGGATAGTTGGGAGTTGACACAATTTCTCAGTTTCATGAATGAAACTTGAGCACCATCTTTGATATACCTCTAGGATATAGCACAAAGCTTTGAGAAAGTTTGATTCTAGGGAGGGTTATCTAATGGACCTTTGAACTTTATCACTTGGGTTTATCAAGTTAACTTCATCTTACTACATTATGTGGTGGATGTGGGATATAAATGCCATCTTCAGAAGATTATGCTTCAAGAACTAAGTTGTAGCACTAATCACATCTTTAATATTTATTTCTTGACTCCTCCGCATTCTGAAGAATATACAGTTAATTAGTGTAGAAATCTTGGATGAAGCAAGTCCTCATATGAGGATCTTGTCATAGCCTACCTCTGTTCCTCTCCTTCCAGCATCTTTCTGTAGGCATTTATTTCCAGATCTAGAGCCAGTTTCACATCTAAGAGATGCTCATATTCTTCCAACTGTGCTTGTGCCTGCTGCTGGGCTTGTGCCATTTCTTTCTCTTTTTCAGCCATACGCCTTCGATGGAGATCACGATCATAATCTAGTGTCTCCTGTAGCTCCCTTATTCTGTTCTCCAAAGCAGCATTCTAAAATCAAGGGGAGGGAAAATCAATTAAACCATAACTGAAGATTAGAGAGGAGAGGCCAGTATTTTGAATTGGGTATTTAAATTAAAGTAATTCTAAGGATATACAAATAAAGATAGTACCTGGCTTTGATACTGATTAACTTGACATGTCAGAGTATCAACTCTCAGCTTTGTTTCCATCAGCTCCTCCCGAGCAGCATTGGCAAAGTCACTATGTCTTGCTGCAGATAGCTGGGCATTCTCCATCTATGGATAAGTCACCATTAGTTATGAGTTGCTTATGACCATGTATTTTAAATAAGAAAGGAAAACCAAGTGATTTCCAGCTGTTACATCTGGAAATAGTTATGTTTTACTTAAGTGTGCAGATACCAATAAAGTCCAGGTCAGAAAGTTTTTCATTGCTTTTCAGGGAGGTTTACACAAGTTTGACATTCATGTCAGAAAAAGTCAGCAATAATCAGGTAGTGAAAATTGCTGCATTAGGATATTTCAGTTACAGATGCATGAAGACTTTGTATAGATATTAAGTAAATTGATTCTCCAGAAGAACAATGGAGAATATGTTTAGAAGCTGCTTTTCAAAGCATGGGGCTACAGGATATTATTATTATTATTATATCATAGAATCATAGAATCATTAAGGTTGGAAAAGACCTCTAAGATCATCAAGTCCAACCGTCAACCCACCACCACAATGCCCACTAAACCATGTCCCTAAGCGCCTCATCTACACGTCTTTTAAATACTTCCAGGGATGGTGACTCCACCACTTCCCTGGGCAGCCTGTTCCAAGGCCTGACCACTCTTTCAGTGAAGAAGTTTTTCCTGATGTCCAGTCTAAACCTCCCCTCAAACTATTGCTCTTCCCCAGAAGTTCTGTTACTAAGGTCCTGCATCACCATAAGCAGCACTGAGCTATTTCTAGAGCAATTCAATCTTGAGGTGTTCCAAGACAGGATAAAGTAGAGCCATGCTCCTACAAGAGGCACTCACAGAATTTCCAGTGGAAACCTGGACAGAAGCATCGAAAGGAATTCACTGAGTTGGCATATAAATTGGAGTATAGAGAAAGCCAGAACCAGGAAGAAAGGAACACATGTACTTGCTGAGAAAAGTAGATCATGTGATTCTACACTGAGTATTAAGAAGGTTTAAGATACCAATACTGTACACTGCAGCCAACCCAGAAACCCCTGGGATCTTACCTACCAAGAATATAAACCTAAAGTATTACTTTTTCCTGCATATGTGGCTAATGCTGGGAAAGAGGTGACAGACCAGTTCTAGAAGACTAACTGTCAAGCTACTTCCATAGCAACCCTCTTCCCCTTATCCAGTACTAGCAACTGGAAAGGGACATTTGCACTCATACATTTTAAAGTTCTCTTGTAGAACTGTAAGAATACCTTATTTCATGCATTTTAGTAACACTATCAGTGTTACTAAATCAGTAGATCAAGATTTATTCATTAATACTGAAATTGCTCAATACAAACATAGCACATCTTGGCCCTGAATTTGTCAGACAAGCTCTCAATTTTGTCAGAAGTCTGAATTATGATCAACTTTATTACATTAGCCATTCCTGATTGCTCCCCAAAGGGACAGTATTTATGCTTGAACCAGTTTTGTTTGGGACAACTGTTCATAGAAGTTCTACTGTCAAATTTGATACTGCTTCAAAATTCCATAATAGCTTATGTCAAGAAGCTCTGCACTTGGGAGCAAGGGCTCCATCAGTCAGCTATTTATGCTAGTGTGACTTTAATCATATCAAGGTGCAGAGAACTTAGGCTTTTTTATTGGCATCTTCCACAGACTCACTTTTGCACTGAATGTTCGCTCCAGCTCCTCTTTGTATCCTTGAATTTGTTCTTCATGTTGTTTTCTGAGCCCCTGCAGAGCATCCGAGAGCTTACTCTCAAATTCTCTCTGACGGCCAGATTCTATTTCTGCTATCCTGCTCTCATGGACTCTTTTTGTCTCCTTGAGCTCCTAGGAGAAGAAGTAGTTTCTCAGAGAATAAGCAAGCCAATACAGTTTGATTTGAGACTGGACTTACTGTAGCAGCTTAACAAATCATTCAATTTTGAAACAGATTTATCATTGAGTACACAGCAATTCACCTTTATTCAGAACTTAGATATTCATCCATTAGGTCAGGTACTTCCACCTTGCTAGCTGCACTGGGTTTTGCTTCCTCACTGCCAACATTGCTTAAACTAATAAATGCAGTACTTTGTATTTAATTTTAAGACTAATTCTTTGAACTAGATGGATTTCTCTGCTTTTCTTTACTTAGAGCACATGCATATACACTTCAGTTTCTTTAAGCACTGCTACTTCACCTATTCTTGTTTTACTTAAAAAGCAATAGCAGTTCCTTAGAGAAATTGGAATTCTCTATCGCTTAAACCACACACTTTAAGATTTCTTCCAGTCAGAAGGAAGTTGGTTTACATTCACATGTTTTTTAGTTCTGTGTACTGACTTCTCACACAAAGGTTACCAGACACCTTTGATAAGTGTTCAGGAAGTGGGGAACATAAGTTGCTTATTAAAGGAGATTTAACTTCTTTGATTATTTTAGGTTTCTAGCAAACATCTGGAATCATTTAAAGTTAACTGTTATATATGCACTTTCAGTTACACAAAGTAGTATGTTGGGATTGTAGTTACCTTCAGAAATGCAGCCTGAGCAAATTATCTCATATTCCAGATACCTATTGGTACTATGCCAGATAACATGAGGTTACGTACTTTCTTGAAGTCTTCCTAGTTAGGTGGATTTTATTGGCTGGTGGACTGTCATAGGTTGACTCAGCTAGTTACCTTTTTACAGATAAAGCATATCTTAACATTGCTTTTAAGTGCATCCAGGGATCATGGACACCTAAAAAAATCCTTGTTAATAAGCTAAAACATACATCTTCATGAAGGCGTTTCTGGAATGTCATTTGTTCCTGCAAAGTTTTCATATGATTTTCCAGGTCCACCCTCCTCAACATTTCACTGTGGAGATGCTTTTTGGTATCCTCCAGTGACAGCTTCAGCTAGAAAGACAAGACATCAGGTAATCAAAATTAAGAGGTCATGTTTCCAAACTAAGACAGTCAACTTATTACAGGTCATTCAACTTCATTCCCACAACAATCAAAACACACTGCTTAAGTGAAGTTGGTTACTCTGTTTAAGTTCTTATTTCAGTGGGATCCAGCATATTAGCAACAGAAAGAATCCTATTTAATTATGTAGACCAGATTTCCCACCAGGCAAATACAGAGCAGCCCTTAATCCCACCAGCTAAGTTTGATTCCTCAAAGTAGACTTCTGATGAATCAATTGTACCATCCATGTACATTCCTCCCCTTTACAACACTAAGTATTCCAGACTTCTCCCTAACTTCCAATATAATTTGTTTGATGCTTAACAAGTGAAATCCTCCAAATGTAGCCTAACTATGTTGACAAACTATTATACACTTCAGGTGTTGGAGCATGCTGCTTTCATGATACAAGTTTGGGTTTTTTGTTTTTAAGTTTTCATCCTAAAGATTTGAAATTAGCTTATTCAATGATTACATTAAAGCATGAAGATACAAAAGCAATGCTCTTAGAAATGCATTGATAGAGTGGCAACTCAATCAGAGTTCATTTTAGTAGCACAAGAGCCTACAAAAAAAAAAAAAAAAAAAAGAACTTTTTTATTCTACCTAGATTTAAGTATAGTGAAGCAGGGTCCATCAAATGCTCCCTTTGCTGACACATTAGAGAACGCTAGAGAGGCTATAGCAGTACAACACATTTCAACTTACTTTGTCCTTAGAACAAGAAACATTACATACAGTGGGCATAGAATACAATTAAAGGTACCTACAACAGGTGGAAGTTTTAACAGACCAATTTATTCTACCTAGATTTAAGTATAGTGAAGCAGGGTCCATCAAATGCTCCCTTTGCTGACACATTAGAGAACGCTAGAGAGGCTATAGCAGTACAACACATTTCAACTTACTTTGTCCTTAGAACAAGAAACATTACATACAGTGGGCATAGAATACAATTAAAGGTACCTACAACAGGTGGAAGTTTTAACAGACCAACCATCAGTAGCATTTGCTTTCAGCAAGATTGCAGAAATCTTTTTGTCCACTTGTCATTGCCATAGATAATAGCCTTTCTCTGCTTTTAAATCTCAATCACTGGTTGAGGAAAAACAAGCAATAGCTTCAGGAACAAAAGCAAAGTTGAAATTCCAGGACAAGTCTTACAGTGACTACTTGATCCTTTAATTCACGAAGATCGTTCTCCAAACTTCGGTTCTCATTCAAAGCTGTTGCTAAGTCAGCTTCCTTCGCATTCAGCTGAGCATCAAGGTCTCTCATACGAGCCTGCGCCAGGTTTAAATCAGCTTCTTTTTTTGAATTCCTACAAGTGAAAGTTTTACACTCATAAGTTGCAGCTGGTGAGGGACAAAGTTTGGTTTTAATGTGTTTACCTTCACAGGGATCTGTGGCAGAACTGAAACAGAAGAGAAGTTAGTTAACGCTTGTGGTGAGAGCACAGGGTAGGCTGTAAAACAAACCAGTTAGGCCCCTCAGACAAACATCATTTGTTTAACCAGAAAGATTTCTAACCCAGTTTCCAGCTCGTTTTGTGTGAATCCTACGCGGAAGCCAGCTATTTTCCACGGCATAACCAACCGGAGAGGGTAGGGACGGCACAGGCCACCGTCTCCACAGGGAGGGACGCTCAAAGCCAGAGTTCACCAGACCACAGTGACCTGCCACCAC